TGTTGGGGATATATATATATATATATATAAACCAATCACAGATGCAGCTTATGACCGCAGGAGGCTTCGGACAATCTCAGCCTCTGCGCTCTCGCCGTCCATATTGTTGATCAGCCCCGACAGCCGTTCGCTTAAATCGTCGATTTCTTGGTGTAAGTTTTTGATGTAATTGCAGGTTTCCTTGAGAAGCTTGGATGCGGAGACCTGTAAATCAGCTACATTTCGTGAGTTGCTGCGCCTTCGAGTCTGGCAAAGATGGCATTTTGAGGCTGGAAATTAACTTACCCTGCCGACGGATCGCCGCCGGGACTCAGGGAGGAGAGATTGGAGCTTGGAGATGAGCTCATTGATCTCTGCTTCAGTTATCCTGCTCCGGCGACTCGACATGCTTCTTCTCTGGAGGGTGAGAGTGTCAGTAAGGGAGGGAAAGGGGGGATTTTTATAGAGAGAGAGGGCGGTTAGGGGAGGGAGAAGACTGCGAAAATAGCCATTAACGTATTATAAGAAAGATTTTAAAGTGCGTAGTTGTCTCCATCCATCTGCTTCATGTTCCCTGAGTAGGCCCGTGGTGAAATTTGCTTCTTTTCTGTGGCTTTGCTGTAGCGGAGGAATCTCCATTAAGTTCAATTTGTTAAATTAAGCGCAGGATTACTTAGCTTAATCGAGCAAGATGCTGTGCCCTTTCTCTTTTTGTCCGCGTATCTCTGGTCAAGCACAATGTCGTCTCGGTTGTAAACTAGTTGATTTCCGATGTTTTTTTTTCTCTGCTTTGGATCTCTTTATTTTAATGTACTATGTGCATGATTGTTGTTTAAAAAGTTTCTAACATACGATTGGGAGTAAAATAAATATTAAAAAAAATTGTGAGCACTTTGGAATATGTTAAATGTTGATTGTCATTTGTGGACACCCCCCGTAAGTTTAGGATCGAGTGAAGGAAGGGAGAAATAGAGTATAGCCGGCCAGGAATTTCCTGTAGAGAAAATCGGTAAATAATTTCTTTGTTTTTGATTTTATCTCTTATTTATAGACGTATATTTTGTACGATTACAGAAAGAAGCGAGAAGTTATGGAAATTGCTCTTAATACACTTGATGCTTTACTTAATTGTATGGATTTCATTCTATATGGGTATTATAATTTTAAAGTTTAATATAGCAGTAACTTGACCAATTGACTTGCTCGAATTAGACCGATTCAGGCGACCGGCTGAGTGGTGTGACCATCCCATGGGTTGGTCGACTAAGGAGCCTGATTGAATGTCGATCTTGCCTGCCGTGGTAAAGGCATGTCGACCGATTAGCCATAATCAAGGATTCCCTTCCAGACCTCAGTCGATCGGGACTGCCAGTGTGATCTGTTATTCGAATCTCTTTTCATGGCGTCTGAGTCGATTCATAACCACGCGGTTGGCAGTAGAGAGGCAAAACGCCTTGGTTGTCTGGTCATTTGTCTGGGCCATTCTAATGCTTTGAGATTTGTGCTAACGGTTGTGGTATATACATACTAGTTCTCCAAATTTTTCTACTCCTTAAAAGCGACAGCTACAACAAGGACATAGAAATTATTAGTATTCAATGATATTAAAGTCAAGCAAGTCAATTTAATAATAAATTCACCTCGAATCTTGTGTCTAATATGCTCTATAAATAAAGTCATAAGTTTGGTATTGCACATGTTGCGTCATTTTTCACTGATCAGCCCATTTGAGTTATGGCCGACGATTAGAGGGAGTTCCACGTAGACCCCAACATTCTGGTGAAGATGGGTTGCTGGCCCTCAACCCCTGTAAAGAAGATGAAGGCTAAGAAAAAAAATGGTTGAGGACTGAACCTATGCGGGCTGATCAATTCAGCTCATCTGAAGACCTTGAGAGGCAGGTGTCAAGGGTTTATTTTCAAAAGAATGTGGTACCTGAGCCAGGCATGGGTGCGAGCTCCGAGGTCCAGCAAGCCTTGCTTACTGAAGGCGCCAAGGAGGTCGAAAAAAAGCCGAAAAGAATGGAAGTTGGTGTCTCTCCTTAGTCGTTGTTGTAGGAAGGCGAAGACACCTCGCATCAAAAGAAAGGGGTTGGATGTCTAGAGACCATCACCTCAATAGATAAATTTATGAGTACGTAAAGATTTTGTTAGCTATCATCGATTTTTAATGGTTCATTGAGATTTTTCATATGTAGATGAATTAGTCGAGTCAGAGGGTCGCCAAGACGGTGGGTAGTCAAAATACGCCGCGGACTTCGTTGCTGCAGTGTCCAATTTTGAGGCTAAGCTCACGAGAGTCTTGTCGGCAGTCATTTAGGAAGGGTAACCGTTGTTCGCTCCCTTGGCCATTACTGGTACTAGATAAGAGAAAATGGAGCATCGGTTGCCTTCCCTCAGAGCCACGAGGCAACAGACCGAGAAGACTGATTCCTTGGTGGTAGGGGTTGGTTCATCGATAGGGTTTGTCGGAGGCCTTGTTACTGATCATGTGCGAGAGGTTTCAGTCCCTCCGGTGCTCATGGGCTCAGTCATAGAAGCTCTACATGAGAAGGTTGTTGTTTTGTAGGATGGCTTGACTAAATTGTTGTGCGAGCTGGGAGTAATTTAGGGGTCGACTGATACGAGAAAATTTCATCGCAATGTCGATTAAATGGAACAACTTAGGATATGAGGGGTGATGGTCATTCAAAGGTTGACTTAGAAAAGGTACATTTCGCCTGAGGCCTTAGAAGACCGCTCATAAAACATTTTATTTTAGATCTGCAATAATGTTTATTTGAAAATGAATGTTTTTTGAATAAATTTGAATAGATGTTTGATATGTTACTCATCATTGTATGAAACATCTTACTTTAAACATTCTGTTTTTTGCATCTGAACTTTGGTTTTTCTTTTTTTTTTTCATTCTTTCGGTCGTCTTCGCTCTTCTGCAATGTCTTCGAAGTACTCACCCGCCCTCTTTGTTTTCGTTAAGGGTGCTGGTCCTTCATTTTTGATGGAGAACAAAGTGAAGAGGATGAAGAGGAGTTATGCTATGCAAGACAACGTCACCCTTCGAAAGTTGCCAGGGTCAATGAGAGCGACGAACCTTTGGGGTAATGATATGTTCTTTTACCAAGACCGCTTCAAATATGGCCTCCGGTTGCCTCTGTGTAATGAGCTCTGGAGTGTCTTTAACAAGTATGGGGTTATTCTGGTGCAAGTAATGTCGAACTACTTAGTCGGGATAATGCAATTTAGAGAAGAGGCTGAGATTCAACATGGCCATGTTGACCTTGTTTTTTGCTAGCCAAGCACCTACCCAAGAAGATCTCCTTATACACTCAAGTTAAGTGGTGGAGGATGAACGAAGAGGTGAGGAGGAGAAGAGCTTCTTATGGAAGGAGAAGAGCTTCTTATGGAAGAAGAAGAAGGGGAAGAGGAAGTAGAAGCTCTCACTCTCAGAGAAGAGCTTCTTATGGAAGAAGAAGAAGGGGAAGAGGAAGTAGAAGCTCTCACTCTCACCTTTCCCAAAGTTTTAACCTCAAGGCCTTGTCGACCTCACTTTTGTGAGGACTCATCACACCTACTTTCATAGGACATTTCTTGGGTCACCTGAATCATTTTAAACCACTAAGAGTCTCCCCACAAATCCTGGAGGTTAAAATAATGACCAAGTCCATCCTAGAAAAGAGTCTGTCCAAATTGACTCCTTAACCTAGCCCAGGGTTCATATAACCCTGTCAAATCATAAATTTTAGATCAAAGCCCTAATTTATCCTTTTTTAACCCAAAAAGAAATAAAACTTCAGTGTGGTCAAATCAAATGAAACTTAACTTATCTTGACATGGATGGGATCATGTCATCAACCTCACCACCCTAGTCAACCCCTTGGTCAACGTGGTCAATACTTAACCGTATGACCAAACCTAATTGATCGTGTGGTCAACCCAACCACCATATTGTCAACACATTATATTGTTAACCTGGTCTCCTTGGTCAACATGATTAATACTAGACCATATGACTAACCCAATTGATCTTGTGGTCAACCCAACCACCATATGATAAACACAACACCATATGGTCAACCTGACTACCTTGGCCAACTCTAGGTCAACATGGTCAACAAAAGACCATATCACAAAGCCATTGAACTTATGGTCAACCCTAAACCACCATGGTCAACTCATGGTCATATGGTCAAGTTTTTCATTCTCATAATTAATTAATTAATCAATTACTTAAGAGGATGAGTTTAAGATCAATTGGTCTTTGGTTTAATCCTAAAACCTTAATCAAATCCTTAAAGCTTAAGGCTTTAACCCATGGTTCAAGCCCATGGATTAGGCCCCTAGTCCAAGCCCATGATTCAATAGGTTACCCATCAATTACACTGTCGGCACTATTTTTGGTGTGGGGTATTAATAAAATCAAATAAAACCAAAACCAAAGTTAAAATAAGGGAAATGGGATGAAGGGAGTTATGCTTACCAACACCCC